TGCTTAACTGTAAAATACACCCTGGATTTCAAAGACTTTATAAATAATGTAAACTATTCTTTCCTGTTGGTTACATGTTGAAATGATAATATTTTGGATATATTTGGGTTAAATAAAATATATTACTAAAAGTAGTTTCACCTGTGTCTTTACTTTTTAAATGTAACTATTAGAAAATGTGAAATTAAAGGCTGGGCGCGGTGGCTCACGCCTGTAATCCCAGCACTTTGGGAGGCCAAGGCAGGCGGATCACGAGGTCAGGAGTTCGAGACCATCCCTAACATGGTGGAACCCCATCTCTATTAAAAATAGAAAAAAAAATTAGGCGGGCGTAGTGGTGGGTGCCTGTAGTCCCAGCTACTCAGGAGGCTGAGGCAGGAGAATGGCGTGAACCTGGGAGGCGGAGCTTGCAGTGAGCCGAGATCGCTCCACTGCACTCCAGCCAGGGCGACACAGACTCTGTCTCAAAAAAAAAGAAAAAAGAAAATGTGAAATTATATTTCATGTTTATATATGGCTCATGTTTTATCTGTTGTACGGCGATGAGTTGAAGAATAGGCAGTATTCCCTGAAGCTTCGTGCTACAGGCAAGTGCTTTAAAGTGGTTAAGTATGAAAAAGATGATCAGTGCCAGCATTCAGTCTTCCAATAAGCCAGGAAGTTTTTCCCTCTTCCCCTCAGATGGTACAGGGGTGGTATTTTGACTATTGGAATATTTCTATTAATTCAACACTTTGGGAAACTAGGTGGATGTCTCTATCATTCACTCACTAGATCAAAGCATTTTTTTTTCTTCTAATGGAAGTCTGTCACTCTTTAAAGGCAGTTATCCCTCCTATTTATCTCTCTAAAACCTGAGTCTTATTTTTAAGTCCTGCTCTTTCTGCTAGGGTTTTTGCCAAATTTCCAAAGCAATGGCATAACTAATGTGGCTATTCTTGCATGTAATCAGTAGAAACCTAAAGAAATGGGAACTATGTGGGTTAGAAGAAATAGCATTTATCAGGCAGGGCGCAGTGGCTCATGCCTGTAATCCCAGCATTTTGGGAGGCCAAGGCGGGTGGATTACTTGAGGTCAGGAGTTTGAGACCAGCCTGGCCAACATGGTGAACCCCCATCTCTACTAAAAATACAAAAATTAGCCGAGTGTGGTGTCGCATGCCTGTAATCTCAGCTATTTGGGAGGCTGAGGCAGGAGAAATGCTTGAACCCAGGAGGCAGAGGTTGCAAGGTTGCAGTGAGCCAAGACCGTGCCTGCGCTCCAGCCTGGGCAAAAAAACAAATAAAAAACTATCAAATCCAGGGCTGACCACTATATTCTAATACTACATTACTAAATTACAGTTTGTCTTACTGCTCATGCAAAGCTTATGTGAAATGATTATTTGACTATGATGAATTATGAGTTTGGGTTCCTTTTGCTTTCCACAAAGTACCAGGCCTACTGCCTACTGTTGACCTCATAGACACCCAATATACACAAAACTATAGTGTATGGATGCCACACTAGTAAAGCTGGATTTTTTTTTTATTATGGTAGAGACCGTAGAGATACACCATTTCATCATTTTATACTTTCCAAACAAGTCATTTCCCATTACCCTTTAAATGCTTTATAGTATTTTATTTTTGGGGATATTAGAATTATTGAGTAATTTTTTGTAATTTTTTTCAAACTTGTAAAAACTGTCAAGTATAGTTATTTTTAAAATTTGGGGCAATATTTTTTGGGGGGGAGTTGATAAACATGGCTGAATGTCTTGTATGCCAAAAGAAAGCTAACTTCTATAAACATATGCTTCTCACATAACCACTCAGGCAAGTACTGAGTGCATCAAAGTCAGCCCATACCAAAAGGAACACAATATATATACATTTTTTTTTTTTTGAGATGGAGTCTTGCTCTTGTCCCCCAGGCTGCAGTGCAATGGCATGATTTTGGCTCACTGCAACCTCCACCTCCCAAGTTCAAGCAATTCTTCTGCCTCAGCCTCCTGAGTAGCTGGGATTATAGGTACCCGCCACCATGCCCAGCTAATTTTTCTATTTTTAGTAGAGACAGGGTTTCACCATGTTGGCCAGGCTGGTCTCGAATTTCTGACCTCAGGTGATCCACCAGCCTCAGCTTCCCAAAGTGCTGGGATTACAGGCGTGAGCCACCATGCCCAGCCAGAACACAATATTCTTAACAAATGAAAGGGAAATTAGTGGTACATCATCAACAGACTCTATTTTCAGCAACTTTTCTATTACAGGTGTGCCCTGCTTTAAGAACATCCAATAACTGAGTTTGTTTAAATGCATCATAGAAAAATCTGAGCATTATGAATCAGATTTGATACACAAGCAACCTTTTAGCTTACTCCCCCACCAGCCCACCGCCCCCAGAAAACGGCCAAGGGGTCTAAATCTATATTTTGCTCCAGATCCAATGTTTTACTTTTGAAAAGGAAGATCCAGTGATTTAACTCACATAAGGCAATGGTCTGGGGCCTGCTAAAAGTCATGCTGTGGTTTCCATTGCATTTGAGACAACCAGACAAACAAATACAACTTTTAGAGGAAACTTCACGTTTTCTCTTATTCACATCTCAGTCAGGAGTGGGATCTTACACTTAGAATTGCTTAGACCTGTGCTGTCCAATATGACAGCCACTAGCCATATGTAGAGTATATTCACAATCCCGATCAATTTCCATCAGACCTCTATTCTTTCCAACTCTCTCCTCATCATGAGTGGGGTTAGGGTTATTGTTTTTGGTTACTGAATATATTATTTTTCTATGTAAAGCTAACAGACGTATATGGTGATCAAATCTGTAACCACAACCTCAGTAGTACTATTTTCTGTTATTGATTCAGATTTTATCTACAAGACTGGCTGCAAGTAAGTTCAGAGAGACAGCATATTATTTGAGACACCTAACATTTCATTAAAAAAAACTTCTGTATTGGCTGGGCGCAGTGGCTCATGCCTGTAATCCCAGCACTTTGGGAGGCTGAGGTGTGTGGATCACCTGAGGTCAGGAGTTCGATACCAGCCTGATCAACATGGAGAAACCCCGTCTCTACTAAAAATACAAAATTAGCTGGGCGTGGTGGCACATGCCTGTAATCCCAGCTACTCATGAGGCTGAGGCAGGGGAATAGCTTGAATCTGGGAGGCAGAAGTTGCAGTAAGCCGAGATCGCGCCATTGCACTCCAACCTGGGCAACAAGAGCAAAACTCCGTCTCAAAAACCCAAACAAACAAACAAACAAAAAAACCACTCAGGTATAAAGATACAATCAAGAGCATCAATTTAGTTTAAAAGGCAATGTTATCTTAGTACTCATTAGCAAAACAAATAATGTAATGCATTCTGACATGTTTATTATGATACTCTGATATACTAATGTAAGTGAAGATGATAAATGCAATAGAAAAATTTTAAATATACTGGTGTTGGGGGCAAGGTGACACATAAGCTGTGTCACACTCTGAGAGATACTGTTTATTACTATACTCACACTGAACATGATTTGATTGTAGTAACTGCATCTGAGACCACATATTAGGGGGCTTCATAAAGGGGTTTTGTTATTCTTCAAAACTAATAACACTTCATCTTAACCAAAACCCTTAATAAGAAAAATCAGAAATAAAGCAAAGTTTTACACACTACCCTGAGGATCAATAACTTCAAGCCCAAGGCCTTCTTAAGGAAATTTTCTTTCTGGTTTGCTAAAGCTGTGGGAGACCATTACCATCATGAGGCCCGTTACAGGAAATATTGATCTCTAAAATGTCATGCTCTAACACTCTATGGTGACTTACAGCATGTGCTGGCCGGATTATAGAACAAGTCAGCTCTAAGCATTTCACACATTTATCAGTACAGGAGCTATTGCATCTACCACTAGATTAAGTTTCTGAGTAGCCATTGAAATTTGGGAAAAGGTATGATAACGCAAAGTAGATAGGTTAGGACCTCCACACTGAAAACAGATATGGTACAGCCGTGAATATGGGAAAAATCCCTAAACTTGAACAAGGAAACAAAATCCAGAACAGGATGGGCACAGAGGCTTATGCCTGTAATCTCAGAACTTTGGGAGGCCAAGGTGGGTAGATCACCTGAGGTCAGGAGTTTGAGACCAGCCTGGCCAACATGGCGAAATCCCATCTCTACTAAAAATACAAAAAATTAGCCGGGCGTGGTGGTGGGCACCTGTAATCCCAGCTACTTGGAAGGCTAAGGTAGGAGAACTGCTTGAAACCAGGAGGCAGAGGTTGCAATGAGCCGAGATTGTGCCATTGCACTCCAGTCTGGGCGACAGAGCAAGACTCTGTGTCAAAAAAACAAAACAAAAGAAAATACAGAACAGATTCAACTCAGGTAAGTGAAATTGCCAGATGGCCAAAACAAGTTCTTCAAATTTCCACAGAACTCACTGACCCAGCAAGAGCACATCTTTATCCAAATTGCAGCTGGGAGCTTGATTAACTGAGAAACAACACAATTAAATGACATGACATTCTTCATAGGCACCAATCCAATGTCAGTATCTGCATGCTGAAGTACAGACAGTTACACTGAAATTGCGTATGCTCTGAGGAATGACACTAAATTAGCTTCCAGGAAAATTACTCAATTTTGTAAGTAATTTTCAGTTTTTTTTTTCTTAGGGATATTTTTCAACTTTCACTTTAATTTTCTTCAGTTGCTTAGTTGTATATTTTGAGAAGGCAAATCCATTGGCACTTGGGGAGGCTTAGAACATAAATTAGTATTAGAAGTAAAGGGAACACACAGCTAAAAGTTTTACTTTAATCACAAATTCACAACTAGAGATATCATTTGCATATCTTAGAATGCTAAAGACCTGTTAAAATTTTTTTAACCAATCAGCAAAAATATGTGCCACAGATTTCTAATGTTCATAATTTAGAATTTATCACATAAATATAATATTAATATATACTTTATTTGCAAAATTATTATTCTTAAAACACTTCTTTCCAACACATTTACAATGTTCATGTGCTTTAAAGAAAAATACCACTCTCATTTAAAAATGTACTACTAACTTTAATGTGTGGTTATACCAGTGCCACCAAATTAGAAAAGAAAAAGAAACATACAGCTGTATTGGATATGTAGTTACTACTACAAATAATGACAACACATGTCTTATACAATGATCGTATTATGCTTTTCTACCACTTCTCAGTCATTATCAGAACCATTTGGAGGTAAGAAAACCAATGCATCATTGAAAATATGCCCAAATGCCCTAAGACGGTATACCCCATACATCATCACATGCATCTGATTTGGAGTCAGTCCATTAAAAGTAACAGCCATATCTGAACAACAGCCTTCTACTACCTGGTTGGGGTGGTAAGTCATTGCCTCTTTAATAGAAAGCCCAACAGATTTGGTATTAAATACATCTTTTCCATCAGCATCTTCTGCATTTTCTGCAAACACTCCAGCATATTTCAGGCAAACTGCTAGCTGTTTATCTTCAGATATCTTCCAAATCATCCCCCCCTGTTCAGGACACTTTTCAGGGATATTGAGAAGGCTGTTAAGTCTTTTCATTGATTCTATACTTAAGACAATTCCTCCTTCCATACCCACATATTCAAGGTCTCCAGATTTTATAGTGTGGCCCAGATAGAAAGGCTGTGATGGATCCTTTTTTAACAAAAAATACTTTAGGTTTTCAATGATAGCAAACGTAGTGGGGCGTGCAAGGAAGAACCAGTTGTATTGGTCTCTATACTTATCAAAGGCATATTTGTAAGCTTTTCTCATCATTAACCACATGTCATTTGTGTCCATATTAATTGACTCAAACACTTTAACATTTTCAGAACTGAAGAACTCTGCTTTGTCACAGTGTTTGGTCCAAGTCTCCTTTACTGCAGCCCAAAGACTCACATCTTTGGGTTTTACAAGGATAATACAGTATACTCGAAAGCTCTTACTGAGCTCCATGCGCTCATCCTCTGAAATTTTCAAGATATCTTCTTTGTTAGGAGCTTGTAGGTGATGATGCTCATGGTGGTGCATTCTATTTCCATGACCAATCCTAATATGTCCTAGCATAGTGATCAAAGCACAGAAAATGCTTCCAAGCATCACACCCTTCAAAAAGGAGCTGCTTTCAGAAAGCATTTTTCCTATAAAGAAGAAAAAGACTCTTAAAATACTTAATAGAAAAGGATTAGTCTATAAATTTGATTTGGTATTCCTTATATACTTACGTTTTGCTCTTAATTTTTTTTTAAAGGTTCCCAAGCTTGAAATCAAGTTAGTTGCATATAGTACAAAAGACTCTCAAAATCTTTAGCTTCCAATGGAATCTGATTACTGTTTGGTATAAACTGGAACTTTGCAACAACTCCTCTATGGAGAATTTGTTTTGCACTTCATCTATGGGGATTTAATAAACCCTTGAAACCAGTGTTACAGAGGTTATCCATCCACCGTTCTCTTTAAAGAATTTCACATCACAAGCTTGCATTATTTAAATACCTCTAAAAATATAATGGATTTTTACACCAAAACCTTGGATTGAATAGATAAAACCACCTATAAATGGCAAATCACCAGTGGTATTGTGCTGACATTTCTGTTCTCAACATAGTGCTTTCTTTAACCGATGGCTGCTGTCCTTAAGTGTTTTGAGTAAATCTAAACCAAGTTTCTTGAGAATAACATCATATATGTTAATATTTACCCTTTTGTTCCTAAAACTAAATGGTTTCCAATACAGTATCCCAACTATTGATGTAATAGAAGCCTGTAATAAAAAGTTGCATTTTTTGGATGAAAAAGGAATATTGATAGATATATCTGGGGCCTATTAATAAACATTTTTATTTCCTCAAAACGAATTTTCTTCTTCTTTGGGGAAGTAAAAACGGAAAACTTTACACTTTTATTTCAATTAGAAATTAAGAGCTGGGTGCAGTGGCTCATGGCTGTTATCTCAGCACTTTGGGAGGCTGAGGTGGGTGGATCCGTTGAGCTCAGGAGTTCGAGACCAGCCTGGGCAACATGGTGAAACACTCTCTCTACCCAAAATACAAAAAAATTAGCCAGACATGGTGGTGGGTGCCTGTAATCCCAGTTACTCAGGAAGCTGAGGTACAAGAATCTCTTGAACTTGGGAGGTGGAGGCTGCAGTGAGCTGTGATCTCATCATGGCACTCTAGCCAGGGCATCAGAGTGAGACTCTGTCTCAGAAAAAATAAATAAATAAAAGAAATTAAAAGCTGATATTAAATACACTTGTTCAAAAAAATTGTATGTTAACCATTTATTCTAGTAAAGGCTGAATTTTCCAATCTTCCCTCCATCTTCAGAAAAAAGCCATCTATTGAGCTACTTAGATTTCCCTGTTTTCTCTTATGGTTGAAAGGAGCCTTAGAAAGCTACCCAATGTCAGTCACTTCTCTCATTTTACAGAGAGAAAATGGAAGTCCACAGAGGTTAAGTAACTGATTCAGTCACACAGTCAGACAGTGGTAGAAGTGGATTAGAAACCACATTTCTCGAATCAGTTTAATGTTTTTTTCCATTACAGAATAATTGCCATAGTGCTTCTACCACATTAGAGTTTGATAAATGGGTTACTGAATATCCTTGTTTTCATACAAATGGAAAAAAAGTGGGATCTGTTGACCATAACTGATGTTTTGCACCCAACAGCACCATATTGTTACAAGGAAACCACTCCTATGGTTTTCTTCTAGAGGAAATGGAATTTTGACTTTACCAGAAAGACAAGGTGTGGAATAGTTTGGCAGATGTAATTTCTGAGTGGTGGGTGGCGCAAGAGGCAGGAAGGCTTTCCTCTGTCACTCACAGAACTTGGTCAATAAACACAGTTCTAAGAAGAGAAGTGACAGAAAACAAGCGCTGCATAATATTAGAATTGTCGGCTGTGCACGGTGGCTCACGCCTGTAATCCCAACACTTTGGGAGGCCGAGGCGGGTGGATCACCTGAGGTCAGGAGTTCAAGACCAGCCTGGCTAACATGGTGAGACCCTGTCTCTACTAAAAATACAAAAATTAGCCGGGCATGGTGACATATGACTGTAATCCCAGCTACTCAGGAGGCTGAATCGCTTGAACCCGGGAGATGGAGGTTGCAGTAAGCCAAGATCGCGCCACAGCACTCCAGCCTGGGCGACAAGAGCGAGACTCTGTCTCAAAACAAACAAACAAACAATTTGTCAGGTGCACCCTAAAATTAATTTATATAGGATTTTTGTATTTCATGTCACGCAGTTTTCATTATTTCTGGCCAATACATAATTCACACAGTTTCTTTGCTCAATTATGTTATATGTGTCAGAATTCTTCCTGATGGCGATCCTACTCCTGGCTGCAAAAATAGGGATCAAAACTCAGTAAGTCTACACATTTTAAACACAATAATTTGCAAAAATTATCCTAAGGAGATTTTTTTCCCCATCAGAGAGGCAAAAAATGTAACAGTAGGGATGCATATGATAGAATACTTTGTGCAGAAAGAAATTTAAAACTGCACACGAGCACAAATGAAACTGAAACTACCCCAATGGTTTTTAGAGGAACCTTTTTGGGTGAAGGTAGTTGAGGTGAAGTACGGAAAAGGAAGACGAAATAGGGAAGAAAAGTGAGAGGGAGGACATGGTAACCTAGAGATCCCTCTGAAGGACCAAGAGAGCGCCCCCAGGAAGAAGGCTCTCGGTCTCCTGTGCTGACAAGCCTCCCGCTGCACCTGCCCAAGCATCCCGCGTGGAGCATGCTGGGAGAGGGCTGGGGCCCAGGCCTCCCCCAAGAGACGGAGGGGAGTCAGGGTGCGCTCGGGGTGGGGGTCAAGGCCCCGCCACTCACCCGCGTCTAGAACGGCTTAGGGGCAGGAAAGCGCAGCCGCGCACGGGTTTCCTCTCACGTTGGCGCGCCACTCGGTTGCGCTCCTGGCCGGGATGCTCTAGCCGCAGGCGGTGTCCTCTCGTTGGTCTCGCTTAAGGTGGGGAGGGCCAGGAAACGGGCGCCGCGAAGGCGGGGCAAAGGAGCCCGCGGCTGGGCGGAGCCGTCCGTTTGCCCGCCCGCTCAGGCGTCGGAAGGGCCGGCGCGCACGCTGCGCGCACATTGCGCGCACACTGCGTGCCCTTTCTCCCCGCCCCCTACCGAGTTCAGAGACGTGCTTTAGGCCTACGTGACCCGTACGCTCCCCTTTACCCAACGGGACGCCCAGAGAGGAGGCCGTGCGTACGACTCGCTGACACCTCCTACTTCACCTTCCTGGCATGGAAATTGCGAGAGCGAGAGATTCTTGCTCCCAGTGTCGCTTGTTATCAGACCTCTTGATGGTTTCTCTGATGTACCCCTGCGTCGTTGAACCCTCATATTGCCCACTCCCCTAGTACTCCTGGGCTGAGACCAAAACGCAGGCCACTGAAATAGTCGTGCAATTATGGCATCAAGGGTTTCTTATGATTACTGGAATGAGATCTGAAGCCCCACTGCCTGGAATCCAATCCTGTCTTCACCACACCTTTTGATATTCTGGGAAAGTTACTTCACCTCGCTGTGCCTCAGTTCCCTCATTTGTAAAGTACAGAAAATATCACAGTAGTGCCTATTTCATAGAAAATTAGATGAGATAGTGCATATGACTCCGTTAGCAAAATTTCAGGCCTAGAGTAAGGCCTAGAGTAAGCGTTTACTAAAAAGTACTGGCTGTTAGTATTCACCCCAGTATTTCTAGTACTTAACCACAGTGCCAGCACGCAGTGGTCAGTAAATATTAGTGGAATTAATGAATAGTAGAACTACAGCTGAGGAACCAGGCCTAAAAAGGATAAGGAAATTTCAAAAGGCCACACAGCAAGTTAATGGCAGAGGTGTGACTGGAATCCAGGTCTCTCTCTTTTTTTTTTTGAGACGGAGTTTCGCTCTTGTTGCCCGGGTTGGAGTGCAATGGCGCGATCTTGGCTCAGTGCAACCTCTGCCTCCCGGGTTCAAGCGATTCTTCTACCTCAGCCTCCTTAGTAGCTGGGATTACAGGAGCCCGCCACCACGCCCGGCTAATTTTTGTATTATTAGTAGAGACAGGGTTGGCCAGGCTGGTCTTGAATTCCTGACCTCAGGTGATCCACCCGCCTCGGCCTCCCAAAGTGCTGGGATTACAGGCGTGAGCCACTACACCTGGCCCTCAGGTCTTCTAATTAGGAGTGCAGAGCTCTCTTTCCACAAAATATTTGATGTGATGTGTCTTTTTTTCTTCTTCTTCTTCTTTTTTTTTTTTTTTGAGACCGAGTTTCTTCGCTCTTTTTGCCCAGGCTGGAGTGCAATGGCGGGATCTCGGTTCACTGCAGCCTCCGTCTCCCGGTTTCAAGTGATTCTCCTGCCTCAGCCTCTCGAGTGGCTAGGATTACAGGCATGCGCCACTATGTCCGGTTAATTTTTTTTGTTTTTAGTAGAGACGGGGTTTCCGCCATGTTGGCCAGGCTGGTCTCGAACTCCTGACCTCAGTTGTTCCACCTGCCTCGGCTTTCCACAGTGCTGGGATTACAGGTGTGAGCCACCGATCTGTCTTTTAAAATTCATTTTTGGCCAGGTGCAGTGGTTCACGCCTATAATCCCAACACTTTGGGAGGCCGAGACGGGTGGATCACCTGAGGTCAGGAGATCGAGACCAGCCTGGCCAACCCCGTCTGTACTAATAATACAAAAATTAGTTGGGCTTGGTGGCGCACGCTTGTAATCCCAGCTACTCCGGAGGCTGAGGCAGGAGACTTGCTTGAAACCGGGAGGCGGAGATTGCAGTGAGCTGAGATTGTGCCACTGCACTCCAGCCTGGGTGACAGAATGAGACTCCGTCATAAAATAAAAAAAAAAAAAAAAAAAAAAAAAATTGACACAAGATGCTCTGAAACAGAATAAACCATGGGATTTTCAACATCAAAAGCGCTGTTAATGAGAAATTTTCTAAGAACCCAGTTCTTTGCTTGACAAATAACTTAAATATACTTAGCATTTTAAATAAAGTTAGTGAGATGATTGACTTATGATTTTTTTTTTTTTTTTTTTTTTTTGAGACAGAGTCTCACTCTGTCACCCAGGCTGGAGTGCAGTGGTGTGATCTTGGCTCACTGCAACCTCCATCTCCCAGGTTCAAGCAATTCTCCTGTCTCAGCCTCCCAAGCAGCTGGGACTACAGGCGCATGCCACCACACCTAGCTAATTTTTGTATTTTTAGTAGAAACAGGGTTTCACCACATTGGTCAGGCTGGTCTAGAACTCTCATCCTCAGGTGATCCACCCGCCTCGGCCTCCCAAAGTGCTGAGATTACAGGCATGAGCCACCACGCCCAGCCGGTAATGGCATTTTTTTAAACAACATTCCATATCTCAGCCCTAATTTAAAAAATATGTGCAATTAGTATCTATTAAAATTAAGATGTTCATACTTTTTGGCCTAGCAAACCCATTGTAGTAATCTCTCCCACAGAAATAGGGGCAAATGCATTATTTTGTTGTTGTTGTTGTTTTGTTTTTGTTTAGAGACAGGGTCTTACTCTGACACCCAGGCTGGAGTGTAGTGGTGTAATCATGGCTCACTACAGCCTCCAATTCCTAGGCAGGTAAACCGCATGTCTTGGGGGTTTGGCATGCAAATTATTTTGTCACCCAGGTAATAAGCATAGTTCCCAATAGTCAGTTTTTAAATCTTCTCCTTCTCCCACCCTCCACCCTCAAGTAATCTCTGGTGTCTGTTGTTCCCCTTTTTGTGTCACGTGTTCTCGTTTAACTCTCACTTATAAATGAGAATATGCGGCCAGGTGTGGTGTCTCAAACGCCTGTAATCCCTGCACTTTGAGAGGTCAAAGCAGGCGGATCATCTGAGATCAAGAGTTCGAAACCGGCCTGACCAACATGGTGATACCCCGTCTCTACTAAAAATATAAAATTAGCCGGGCATGGTGGCACATGCCTGTAATCACAGCTACTCAGGAGGCTGAAGCAGGAGAACTGCTTGAACCTGGGAGGCAGAGGTTGCAGTGAGCCAAGATTACACTGTTGCATTCCAGCCTGGGCAACAAGAGCGAAACTCTGTCTCAAAAAAAAAATAATAATAATAAATAAATAAATAAAAATAAAAATAAAAAAAGAAAAGGCACGGCACGGTGGCTCACGCCTGTAATCCCAGCACTTTGGGAGGCCAAGACGGGGGTTTGCTTGAGGTCAGGAGTTTGAGACCAACCTGGCCAACATGGTGAAACCCCATCTCTACTGAAAATACAAAAAATTAGCTGGGCATGGTGGCGCACAGCTGTAGTCCCAGCTACTCGGGAGGCTGAGGCAGGAGAATTGCTTGAGCCTGGGAGACAGAGGTTGCGGTAAGCCGAGATCGCACCACTGCACTCCAGCCTGAGTGATACAGCGAGACTCTGTCTCAAAAAATAAAAAAGAGAACATGTGGTATTTTTTATTCTCTGTTCCTATGTTAGTTTGTTTATAAGAATGACTTCACCTCCATCCATGTTGCTGCAAAGGACATAGTCTCATTCTTTTTTATGGCTGTGTAGTATTCCATGGTATATACGTGCCATATTTTTTTCAGCCAGTCTACCATTGATGGGCATTTAGGTTGATACTATGTTTTTGGTGTTGTGAATAGTGCTGCAATAAACATATGCATGCATATGTCTTTATGGTAGAATGAATTATATTCCTTTGGGTATATTCTCAATAATGGGATGGCTACGTCAAATGGTAATTCTGTTTTAAGCGCTTTGTGGAATCACCACACTGCTTTCCACAATTGCTCAACTAATTTACATTTTCACCAGAAGCGTATAAATGTTACCTTTTCTCCACAACCTTACCAGCATCCGTTATTTTTGACTTTTTAATAATAGCCATTCTGACTGGCACAAGATGGTATCCCATTGTGGTTGTGATGTACATTTCTGTAAAGATTAGTGATGAGCATTTTTTCATGTATTTGTTGGCCACATGTATGTCTTCTTTTGAGAAGTGCCTGTTCATGTCTGTATTAGTCTGTTTTCACACTGCTATAAAGATACTACCTGAGACTGGGTAATTTATAAAGGAAAGAGGTTTAATTGACTCACACTCCTTTTATTTATTTATTTATTTATTTATTTATTTATTTATTTAAGACAGTCTCACTCTGTTGCCCAGGCTGCAGTGCAGTGGCACAATCTCGGCTCACTGCAACATCTGCCTGCCAGGTTCAAGCAATTCTTCCACCTCAGCCTCCTGAGTAGCTTGGACTACAGGCACATGCCACCACACCCAGTTAAGTTTTGTATTTTTAGTAGAGACGGGGTTTCACCATGTTGACCCGGATGGTCTCGAACCCCTGACCTCAGGTGATCCACCCACCTTGGCCTCCCAAAGTGCTGGGGTTACAGGCTTGAACCACCGCGCCTGGACTGACTCACAGTTCTGCATGGCTAGAGAAGCCTCAGGAAACGTACAATCATAGTGGAAGGTGAAGGGGAAGCAAGGCATGTCTCCTCATGGTGGCAGGAGAGAGAGAGAGAGAGGAAGAGTGAGGAAGTGCTACATTTAAAACAATCAGCTCTAGTGAGAACTCCCTCACTATCATGAGAACAGCATGGGGGAAACCATCCTCATGATCCATTCACCTTTCACCAGGTCTCTCCGTGGACATGTGGGGATTACAATTCAAGATGAGATTTGGGTGGAGACACAAAGCCAAACCATATCACTGTCCTTTGCCCACTTTTTAATGGTGTTGGTTTTTGCTTGTACATTCATTTAAGTTCCTTATAGATTCTGGATATTAGACCTTTGTTGGATACATAGTTTGCAAATATTTTCTCCCATTTTGTAGGTTGTCTGTTTACTCTGTTGAGAGTTTCTTTTGCTGTGCAGAAGCTCTTTGGATAATTAGGTCCTATTTGTCAATTTTTGTTTTTGTCGCAATTGCTTTTGGCATCTTTGTCATGAAATCTTTGCCAGGG